CCTAACGATAACAACTATTATTGTGAAAATGTCAATTTCTCTTTTCAGTGCTGTTAAGAGTTATTTTGTGTAGTTTGGAGCCCTGTCATTGGGTGTGTAGATATTTATTAAGGTTATGTCTTCTTGGTGAATTGTCCCTTTATTCGTTATATAATGTCCTTCCTCGTCTTTCATGGCTGATTTTGCCTTAAAGTGTATTTTATCTGAGATTAGTATGGCTACTCCTGCTCTTTTTTGGTTGTTTTTTTTCAATCCTTTGAATTTTAATATATCTATGTCTTTGTGTCTAAGGTGTGTCTCTTGTAGACAGCATATTGATGGATTGTGTTTTTCTAATCTATTCTGCCACTCTGTGTCTCTTTACAGGTGCATTTAAGCCATTTACATTCAGTGTGATTATTGATAGGTATGAGTTTATTGCTGTGATATTGTCTTGATTTTTTTTTTTGTGGTGCTGACATTTTTTGTTCCTCTTACTCTTCTGTGATTTCCTTTTGTTTGTGGATTTTCTTTTGTTATAGATTTTGTGTTTACTGAGTCTTTATGTTTTTCTTCTTTTTTTCATTTTGATGAATAGGTTTGTTAACTTTCTTTGTGGTTACCTTGAAGTTTATCCTTATATTCCTAAGTTTGAACCAGTCTTTTATTACTCGTATTCCTCTCCATTTGAAAGTTTTATATCTACACTGTTTATGCCCCCTTTTATTGTTTTGGCATTGTGGTTATTTACAGATTGACATGTCTATTTCCAGGTTTTAAGTCTTTTATCTGTTTTATTATTGAGAGTTCTTTATCTAGGTTGGTATCTGGCTGATGCTGTCCTGTGTACTAGACTCTGGTTGTTTTCTGACGTTGTTGGTTCTCTAACTGAAGGACTCCTTTTAAGATTTCTTGTAAGTTTGGTTTGGTTTTTACAAATTCCCTTAATTTCTTTTTATCTAGAAATGTCCTAATTTTGCCATCATATTTGACAGACAGTTTTGCAGGATATATTATTCCTGGTTGGCATTTTTTTCTTTCAAAATTTTATATACATCATCCCATTGCCTTCTTGCCTGCATAGTTTCTGCCGAGTAATCAGAGCTTAATCTTATTGTTTCCCCTTTCTAAGTGACTTTTTGATTTTCTTGATCTGCTCTCAAGATTCTTTCTCTGGTTTTGTCAAGTGTGATTATGTCTTGGTGATTTTATTTTGGGGTCTATCCTATATGGGGTTTGTGAGCTTCTTGGTTAGTCAGCTTTTCATCTTTCAGGATATTTGGGAATTTTTCTGCCAGTAAATCTTCAACAATCTTCTCTGTATTTTCCATTTTCTCCCCATTCTGGAACTCTGATCACGTGAAAATTTTTGCTCTTGTGTCCCACATAATTCTTAGGTTTTATTCATTCTTTTCTCTCATTTTTAATCAAAGTGGCATCCATGGATTTGTATTCAATCTCACTGATTCTGACTTTCATTGTTTCAAATTTACTCCTAAAGCCTTCTATTGAGTTGCCCATTTCTGAAATTTTGTTGTTTATATTTTGGATTTCTAGTTGCTATTTTTGTATGATTCCTAATTCTTTATTTTGACATTTTGTTCTTGTATTATTTTCCTGAAATTTTCTATGGCTTTGTCTGTTTTCCTTGATTTTAGCTATGTTTTTGTTGGTTCTGTGTTTTCCATGATTTTGTCTATTTTTTCCTTGGTTAGGGCTGTGTTTTCCTTGATCTCTTTCCTAGTGTCTTGGACAGCACTAAATATTAGTCTCTTGAATTCCACGTCAGGTAATTCCACTGCCTTTTCTACTGGAAGGTTACCTGATTATTTTGGTTACTTGCTGGACCATCTCATCATGCTTTTTTATGTTTTTATTTCGTCTGCTGTCTGTGAGAAATTAACCTATTATCTTCTTTATTTATTGATTGTACATTCATTTCTTTCTTCCTGCTTGTTTTGTTTTTATATGTCAGGGCAGGTGGGCCGTGTGTGCTTAGCTGCTTGCTTATCTGTGGGAACCATAGCTCTCACCACCTTGTCCAGGTGGGCAGGGCAGCAGCAGGAAGGGCAAGCCCACTTCACGGTACACTGGTTTGGTGAGGTGGCTGAGGGTGGACTGGGCAGGTACTGTCTGCCTCCTGATTTTGTTCCAGCAGTGTGAGATCATTCACAGCCCCTTGCTAGATAGGTGGGGGTGTCGGATGGGGAGTGGTATGTGCTTACTTACCCCTGTTCAGCAGCTGGTCGAGTGGCAGGAGAGGAGGGGTAGTGCAGGCCTGGTGCGGTGGCAGGCCTGAGCTCTGGGGATGCTCTAACTACAGCAGCACAGCAGGGGCTGGTAGGAAAAGGGGGTGGCATATGGGGCTCATGGGGGGAGAAAAAAAGAGAAAGAAAAAAAAGAGTAGCTGGTGAGTGGTAGTGGGGTGGACCTGGGGGCTGGCGGTAAGTGGGGGAGGTGGCGTATGGTGGGAGGTAGAAAGGACAGAAAAAGAAAAAAATATATATATGGCGGTGCAGTGCGTGCTGGCAGGTGGGGCTGGGACGGATCCAAGGCAGCAGCAAATTGGTGCACCAGTGGCACTTTATCCACAGTGGCATGGGGGGGGGCAGTGGAAGGTGGGGGAGGTGGCATATGGGGCTAGGTGGGAGAAAGAAAAGAATGGAAAAAGGAGAAAAAATGGCGGTGCAGCAGGCGCTGACGAGTAGGGGCAGGGTGGACCTTTAGGCCAGTGGGAAGGGAGGATAGGTGGCTTACAGGGCCAGGTGGGAGTCAGAAAGAAAAAAAACGGCTGCGCTGCAGGAATCTGTGGGTGTGTGGGGAGGCAGACACAGGTGGTGGTAGGCCAGTGGCTCTCTAGCTGTGGCGGCGTGGTGGGGGCCGGTGGGAAGTCGGCTAGGAGAGAGGGAGAAAGAAAAGGAATAGAAAAAAAAGGGTGGTGCAGTGGGGGTCGGCGACCAGGGGCGAGGCAGACCCAGGGAAGGCAGATCCAGTAGGAAGGGAGAGGAGGGGACATACTGGGCTAGGTGGGAGGGAGAAAGAATAGAAAGAAAAGAAAAAAAAAATGGCAGCATGGTCAGGGAGGGGTGGACCCAGGGCAGTGGCAGGCTGGTGCACTGGTAGCCCCCTTGCTGCACCGGCATGATGGGGTCTGGCAGGAAGTCTGTGGAAGTGGCGTACAGGGCTAGGTGGGAGGGAGAAAGAAAAGGAAGAAAGAATAAAATAAAAAAGCTTCCAGCACTGTGGGGGCCAGTAAGTGGGGGTGAGGTGGACCCAAGGGCCACTGGGAAGGGAGGGGAAGTGATGCATGGGCTAGGTGGGAGGGAGAAAGAAGAGAAAGAAAAAAATGGCAGCACAGTGGGAGCCAGTGGGTGGGGATGGGGCGGACCTGAGGCAGTGGCAGGCCTTTGGTTCTGTAGCTGTGGCGGTGTGACAGGGGCCGGCAGGAGGGGGTGGAGGTGGCATATGGGGCTAGGTGGGAGGAAGAAAAAAAGGGAAAAATATTAAAAAATTTAAAAAATGGCACGGTGGGGGCCGGTGGCAGCAGGCCAGTGGCTCTCTAGCCATGGCAATGCAGTAGGGTTTTGTAGGAAGAGGGGTAGTTGGCATACAGGGCTAGGTGGGAGGGAGAAAGAAAAGAGAAAAAAAAATACGTCAGCAGTGGAAGGGGGCAGGGTGGGCCTGCAGGGAGGGGAGGCTCATATTGTGTACCCTGGCTGTGGGGGCTGCTGGTATGGTGGAGTTCTTACTTCTACTCACCAGAAGATTAAGGGGTGGGAAAGCATGTTTCTCTGATTACTGGGTGATCTGTCTCCTGTTGGGAGCTCTGTGAAGTTGCCTTCCTATATTCCCTGTCCGGTCCGGGGTCGTTGCTGGCTGTGTACCAAGATGGTGATGCTGTGCCATATTAGTTGGCAGGGGACCTACACTCTGTATTTCTCCTCGTTCTGTGTTTTCCTTCAGTTTCTTCTTCCATCTGATTTTTGATCTAGTTCTTTATCCCTTCATTTGATGCTTAGGGTTCCAGGATTGATGTTTGTATCTGTTTTACTTAGTTTTTTGGGTCTTTGCTGCAGAGGGAAGGGATGGTGCATCTGTCTAGGGTGTCACGTTTGCTCCACTTCCTCAATTCAAGGTTTGAAGAGCAACTCAGGGCCACAGTCTTGGGGACTTCCCTATACTCAATAGGTCAAAATAAGATACTTTTGAGAGCAACTGAGAATGCTATTAATAATTATGCCAGGGCAACAGGCATAAATGGGGACCGTCTGGACAAACCAGGACCTGAGGTCACTCAAGTTAAATAGGAAATGAAGACTATGTGTGGAGAATATTGTATTTATCTCCACTGCAACAGTATAGGTACTACGTATTTGGTAAGTGCAAAAAGAGATGGTAGAGGTTTTGTCAGCTGTAGCTAACAACAATAACTTTTTCCCCAGCAGCTACATAAAATTCCCAGAATAAAACCTAACTTACTAGGATGGAAAGGAGTCCTTGCGGCACATTGGTTAACCAAAAGGTCAGCGGTTCAAACCCACCAGCCGCTCTGTAGGAGAAAGATGTCTACTTCCATAAAGATTTACAGCCTGGGCAACCCTATGGGGCAGTTCTACTCTGTCCTATAGGGTTGCTATGAGTTGGAATTGACTTCATGGCAATGGGTTTGGTTTGGGTTTACCAGGATGGAACTATGGGGACACATTTTAATCCTTGTCTGATAAAGCCTCTCGTGTTATACAGAGGGCTTAATGAATAGTATAAACAAGATTCTGCCAAATATTTTTAATACTTAGGAGAATAAACTGTTTTTAAGTACCCTACAGTACTACAGAAGCATCATTAACACACAGTTGAAATGCTGAGTAAAAATCAGTCTTATTCATCAGAACAGGTTCCCTAAAAACTTCAGGAAGCCTGTTTGAATTTAGCAAGGTATGTACTGGATTGATAAAACTGCATTTTAAAAACATTTTAAACACATATTATATAACATATTACATATTTTTAATATTCCTCTACTTTGACTCAATTAATGAGCTTTGACTATATTGTATAATTAAAGAATATGTTAAATAAAGCTATGATATAAATTCCAACTACAAAAACACATATAAAGTTTTGCACATTGTCACCAGACATAAACTTAATTGGAAATTTTAATTCTTTATTCTATTTTCAAAACATAAGAGCTTTTATCAAAAGTCTAACACATCTTTAGTTAGTATCACACACTTAAAATAAACACAATACAAATACATTTTTTTAAAAGTTGCTTTAAAGATTAGATATCACTGTATGGGGATCATAGTATTAGACAATTTACTAAACCCAGAAGGGCAGCCATCAGTGTCAGTTCAGGCAAAGTAGTGTAAGAGGGAATGGTGGCTTTTACCTGTGGTACTCCAGATGTACTCCCTGTGACTGGGATACACTTTCAGCCAGTGAAAAGACAAACAGTTTCAGAGAGGTTGTAAATTTTCTTTAAAATTGACTAGAAAACCATGTAATCAGAAAACTACTTACTGTGTGTTTTCATTTGCTCTAAAAGAAGTATTGAAAAGGTTGGCCATCCTCTTTTTTTCCACCATTTGTTTTCTACCACTCTACTATGCCCATTTATTCATATGTATTCATAAGATTGTCATTGGTTCTGTGCAAACCGCTTACAGACTCCTCCTCCATCCTCACCCTCCCCATTCCCATTCTTGGAGAGAAACCAGCAAAATCTGAGAGGAAGGAGGGGAATGAAGTAAGAAGCTGTCTGGGTACAATAGGGAAATTAGCAAAGTCTTTGCCCTCAAATCAGGAGAAGAAAAATTGTGGAGAAACATTCTCCAAGCAAGGCTACCTATACATGGGACCAGAAAATAGGACTTAAGATATTACTACATTATTCTTTGTCAGCCTGATGCCACAGTCACACACATCCCTCACACAACACTCGTATTTACATACTTACTCATTCAGTCAAATGTGTACACACACACATCAAAACTACTGAAATTCAGAAAAATTCCCATGTATGCTTAGACACACACAAATGCAGGTGTTTAGAAGAAACAGATGTATGCCCACAGATACCAATATATATAGAGATATAAATACTAGAATTAGGAAGTGAAAATATAAGTGAAAGAGTTTGTGAATAGTTAGGGGGGGCAAGGAGTTGGAGGGGCTGGATGCTGTAGAAAGTAAGTAGGTAAGTGATAGAGAACAGGTGAACACAAGAAAAGAGTGCTCAGTAAAGCAGTTATAAACTAGACTGCTGGATTTCTCTTTGCCAGAACCAGAGGCTTCAATTATTCTCTGTGTTTTCTATGTTGGCTCACTCTTCAGAGGCAAGGATTAGGTGCATAAGGCTATCTTCAGGGAATTAACCTACCTCTGATTCCCTCTCTGCTCCCTATGTGTAAGACATTACTCAGGCATCTTTTCTTCTCTCCCCTTCCTCTCTGGAACTAGGTTCCTGGCTCCATTTCTCTGAGTCATTCTGCATTTTCTGCTGCAAATATACCAGCAATCTTCATAAAATGTGATTTTAAGTCTTAATACATAAATCCTTAAATAAACACACTGCACTCGCATTTTTTAATATTTCACCAAAGTGAAAGTAGGAATTGTGTATAGATACAGAGAAGGCAAAAGCAGAGACAATAATTCTACACAGAAATGATTCCATTACTCAGTGTGAGGCAACATGTGAATAAAGAATGAAACCATGATCCAATACTCTCGTTTCCTAAGAAAAGGCACTGAGAATAGATATTTCCAATTTATAGTGGCATAAAATCCAACATATTAGGGTTCACTCATTTGAAATAATGTCCCAGTGCACCCATCCCTCATACTCACAATAAAACCACAGATAAGAAAAACCAAAATTTAGGAATCAGTTATTATTAATATCTGCTCACCAAACAGGAGTTAGAAAACTAAGCTGGTAACAGATCTATAGAGTAAAAAGACAAACTGCTATGAACCATGAAAGAATTAAGGCCAACAATGAAATGTCTGGTTGAGCATATGCACACTAGAAGTGAGCCTCCAGGTAAAGGTTCACTTCTTGGGTGGGATGGGATAGAAAGGGGTAGGGTGGAAGTGATCAGGCAATAACATTTCAGTTCCATGCATAATTAACCGAGGCAGAGACCAACTGTCAGAAGGCTTCCAGCAGCCAGGACCCAAAGCCCTCACTGCATTGCACAGATGCTGTGGGGCAGGAACTCCTGCACATAGGTGGCAGCTGCTTTGGAGAGGTAGGTCATGGTGCCAAACCTGCCACTGGGTGCACTGTCATACAGGAGAGTACAGATGCCAGATGCAGGATCCTTTGCCAACATGATATCATCTGCACCGAGGGTTTTCTGTTTGATTTATAAGGATGAGAGAAGAAAGGGGAAAGGAAAAATTACTAATTCTATTAATTAATGTCCTGAGTAGGATAACACAGAGCCTCCTCCCCATTAACCAACTAGGTGGATCCTAGGCTGTTTAGCCAGGGAGGGATAAGTGTTATACACAAAAGGGTGAATATGAGTTTCCATAAATGTGTTTTTCACTAGATCCCAAAATCATATGGAAGTTATTTTTAAATTATTAATTGTTTAGGATTTTTCTCTATAACAATGAAGTTTGAAAGTTAAATGTAATAGTTAACTAAATGATTTCTACCTGTTAAGAGTCAAATGTTAACACCTACAAATCACTCTAGCGACTTTGGTCTGAATCCGTCTAGTACTGCTCATTTCAACATGAATAATTTTATCTTGCATCTGAACATTATTCCTTTCCAAATCAATTTAATCCAAATAGACCATAAGCTTCCTAAGGCTAGAGTCCATGCCTAAGGTGATCATATTTTCTGATACATGGACTGACAACAAACCATAATATTTAAAATCAGGACGGTCCTTCAAAGTTGTGGATACTTTTAATTTCTTTTGCATCCCCTCACAGTGCCTAATAGAACAAAACACCTATGACATGTTTTGGAGATTTTCCTATTGACAACAGTGCACATCCCTTCATCTTATGTGCTCCTACTCTAAACCTAGGAAACATTTGGGAAGTTTTCAAAAACTAGTTTTTTTTTAAAATGTAGTTAATTTCCTGGAAGAAGATATATTAAAAAAAATAAGAAAAATAAAGGATTAAAGTCACATTTTAATATTTTCCTATAAGTAGCAAAAGCAAAAACAAAAAACTAAAGCCCAAAACAAATCTTTTTTGTCCTCAATGGTCCAAAAAGGATATGCTAGCTAATAGTCTCTTATTAAGTTCTTATAGCTACAAAAAGAAGTGTGATAAAAAATCTGAAATATGATGAAAAGCATAAAAGCCTTCTGAGTGCCAGGTACTTTTACCATCCAACACAACCACAAAACACATGGTGAAAGACAGAGGTCCTTTTGCTGTCTACTTCTTTTGTAAAGAGTTCAGGTTCACTATAAAGAGGGCCCAGAAAAAGAGCCATGAGGAAGAGGGCAAAAGAAAGTGTCCTTGGCTACATGAAGGAGCTCTGAATGCAGTCAGGTCAGTGTCAAACGTTCTCCTTTTAGAAAACAACAGGTTTACATACCTGTTCTTGAAGGAACAAGTCATTGGCAATATGCACTATTTTTTCCACAGCAATGATGCTTCCAATGCTATGAATTTCAATATCTGCCAGCATGGTCAGGACAAGGATGGCTTCAACCAGAAGCTGACGATACTCAGGCTGAGGTACACGATTCAGGACAGACTCCACGTGAACAGAGAATTTAATCTCGCCTGGAGTCATCTGTGATGGAGAAAAAGAAAATGACTTCCTAAGTGCCCATCATCCAGGAGGCATCAATCGCCTATTCGGAAACATAGTAAAAATATTGTAGCCAAGAGCAATGCTTCAGCCCCTTTCAAAGTAACCGAGTGGGTAAATTGGTTCAGTCTTTCTGGATGGCAATCTGGTAATGTATAACTGGAGTCATAAAAACGTCAATGCTTTCTGACCCATAATCCTATTTCTGGGAATGCATCCTAAGGAAATGATTCAAATGAGGAAAAAGCTCTACATGCAAGAGTGTTTACAGCAGCATTAGTCACAAGTGAAAAACTAGAAGTAACCTAAACATGGGAATGGCTGAGTAAATAATGTCCTATGGTATAGCGACTTCATGAATTTTTATGGAGCCTTTTAAAATAATAATGACTGGATAAAGGAAAAATTTAAGTAGAACTTCAACTTGTATATATTTGATGATTAGAATTATGTAAAACATCTATATACTGTTAGATTAAAAATTGTTGTTGTTGTTGTGTGCCGTTAGTTGATTCCGACTCACAGAGACCCGACAGGACAGAGTAGAACTGCTCCACGAGGTTTCCAAGCAGTGGCTGGTAGATTTGAACTGCTGACCTTTTGTGGTTAGTAGCCAAGCTCTTAACTAGTATGCCACCAGGGCTCCAGATTGGGGTTAAGGGGATTGAGAAATAATTTTTGGTAAAATTGTACTACGTATATACTCTAGGGAGGCAATGAGGATTTAGAGTTTGAAGACGTGGGTTCAAATCCTGTCTTTGCTGCTTACTAGCTCTATGACCTTTGGCAGTTTACTTAATCTCTCTACATTTGTTTCCTTACCTGTAAACTGGGAACTATAATCCTATCTTATATAGCTGTGTTGAAGATCAAATTAAATAATGTGTGAAAGTGCTTTGAAGACACTTAAGGGTGCTAATCAGCTATATATTATTATTAATTCTATTAACGTTTCAATCTTGCTTAAAGGCAAAGAAAAAACAAATAGGGGACACAGTGTTCTTTATTAGAGAAAAGGCAAGTAGGCAAGAGTGAAGCCCTGAAGCGTAGCATTAACCTTCTGTACCCCTCTGTGCCTTTTTCTGTAACAACTCCAGTGTTTTCAAGAATTTTCTACTGTCCAATATTACTACTCTTAGCTCCTTTGTTGATTTTGAATAAAAGTTACTTCTTTATCATTTCCATGTGATTTGGGTAAAAAGCAAACTACAGTCAATCATCATTATTCATGGATTCTGTATTGGCGAATTCGCCTTCTCACTAAAATTTATTTGTAACCCCAAAATCAATACTTGCAGTGCTTTTGCAGTCATTCGTGGCCAGGAGGAGAGTGGTGAAAAATCTGTGTCACCCGACAAACACATTTCCAGCTGAGGTCGAACAAGGTGACGCTCTGCCTTCTTGTTTCAGCTCTCATACTGTAAACAAGTGTCCTTTTCATAGTCTATTTATGCCACATTTTTCGCATTTTTGTGCTTTTTGTTGGTGATTTTGCTGTTTAAAATGATCCCTAAGTGTAGTGCTGAAGTGCTGTCTAGTGTTCTTAAGTGCAAGAAGGTTGTCATGTGCCTTACAGTGAAAATACATGTGGTTAGATAAGCTTTTTTCAGGCATGAGTTATAATGTTGTTGGCCGTAAGTTCAATGTTGACAAATCAACAATATTCATTAAATAAGGTGTCTTCAAACAGAAACACACATAAAACAAAGTAATGTATTGACTGGTTGATGAAAGTGTTGTGACCAGAGGCTTGCAGAAACTAACCCTAACGTTTCTCCTAGGAGCAGTGGTTCAGTATTCACTAATTCGGTATTCACAATGAGAGACTTTATAGAATAAATAATAATGAGAATTGACTCTATGAATGTATAAAAGCACCTGATAATCTATGTCTGTGGTTCCTCAGTGTTTTCCAGCTATGGTTATATATCAGAATCATCTATGGAGTTATTAAAAAGTAAAGATGCAGAAGTGCCATTTCTGGAAATTCTAATCCAATAAGTTGGAGATGGGTGTCCATGTTACTCTGACATATAGTTAGAACTAAGGACAGCTGGTTTATGATCTAGGTCTACAAGCATCTTAGTAGAGAAGTGTGGGAATGAAAAGGATAGGGGACATAAGTAGTCATTCTTTCTTAAATTTCTATCCTTTCTATCCTCTCTAACACTGGCAATACTCACAATAAACCAGCCTAACTTAATCATTATAAGAAGTTGTCCTTATATAATTAATGTACTACATAATTATTCTCTAATCTTTCCATTTCTGGAAACCCTGGTGGCGAACTGGTTAAGAGTTTGGCTGCTAACCAAAAGGTCGGCAGTTCAACAAGGACTAGAAGGCAAGAGGGGACAGGAAAGCTGGTGATAAGAAACCCAAGGTTGAGAAGGGATAGTGTTGACATGTTGTGGGGTTGTTAACCATTGTCATGGGGCAATATGTGTACTAACTGTTTAATGAGAAACTATTTGTTCTGTAAACCTTCATCTAAAGTAAAAAAAAAAAAAAGAGAATTATCTATGTGAGATAAAACTGACAACAGCAACTCAAAACGATTGATGGGAAGCCTAGGGGGCAGTGAGTTGAAGATAATGGTGATGGAATAATTTGGAAAAAGATAGTGAGAATAGCAGGACAACTGGAAGAATGTAATCGATGTCACTGAGTTGTACATGTAGAAACTTTTGAAATGTGTATCTTTGGCTATGCATATTTTCACCAAAAAAAAAAAAAAGGTCCTCCAAGGTTGAGATGGGAGAGTGGTGACATGTCGTTGAGTTGTTAACCAATGTCATAAAACAATTTGTGTACTGACTGTTTAACGACAAACTATTCTGTAAACCTTCATCTAAACTACAATAAAAAAAAATTTGGGGAAAAAAAAGGTTGGCAGTTCGAATCCACCAGGCGCTTCTTGGAAACCCTATGGGGCAGTTCTACTTTGTCCTATATGGTCACTATGAGTCAGAATCACCTTGACAGCAATGGGTTTTTGTTTTGGATTCCAATTTCTATTTTTAAAAATCATTATCTCCTTTCTTCAAGTGCACTTCAAGTTTAGTTGATTTATAAAAGCATGTCTCTGGTACTCTGAAAAATGATCACTGAAATACTTTAGCCAGACAAGCCATCCGCCACATAAATGTGAAAGACACAGAATCTTACCTCCCTAGTGGTGGAAGAAGGAAGAACAAAACCTTCCACAGAAAGTCCATGACACTGCAAAACAGAAAAAATATGTTGTCACCAAGGATATGCTAACAACTGGGAGACTGTAAGGAGACACTAAGTTATTTCTGTGTGTGCTTCACTGGGTATATGCGGAATAATCACAGGCCAGTGAGAGGCTTGACAGCACAAATGTCCTTGCCATTCCTATGTGCCAAGATGCAGGTTTGGACTAGGAGGCCCAAGGTTCATCCTATACTTAGGGAATTGGAGTGGACAAGGAAGATCTACCTTCTGAGATAGACTAGCTCCAAATATTCAGACTACCTGGGAGGACATCATGTTATGTCCCAGAGCCATCACAAATAGGGCTTCAGAAAAAAATCGTAAAATATGCACTTATCAGACATGTATAGTTGCTACATTTTCAAGTTAAGCATCCCCCATCAAAACTCTTGATCCCCTTACCCTGTTCTATTTTTTCCACAGTATTTATCATCTTCCTCAAGATGGTTGCACATCTTGAAGAATGGAATCAATGTCACTGAATTATACATGCAGAAATTGTTAAATTGGTGCATGTTTTGTTGTGTATATTCTCACCACACACAAAAAAAAAGTTAGCTGGAAGGAAAGCAAGTCCTAGGTACTCCTTGAAAAGATCGCCAGTACTGATGGTCTGAGAAATCAACTTTCCCCTTCCCAAAAGATCATCTGACTCTGTCCCTGGAAAAATACTGGCAGGCTAACAGAGAAAAAAATAATCTAATGGTTTTGAAGTCCTGGAAGAAGTGCTCTTCAGGTCCTTACTGAGGTCAATGTAGTAAAAAGTGGAACTAAGAGACTATGGATGAGACAATGAATGAGCACTATGGTCTTCTCAGCCCTCTAAATCTGTCATTATCATAATGACATAAAGTTCCCTTAGATGTCTTTGGCAAAATAAACTTTTGCAAGAAAAACAAAAATTGGTCACTGTCATTGGCCTGTTAACATCATTATGACATTGCATTTATTTAATAGTTTTCATCTAAGAAAATATATAGGTAAGAGTTCCTCACACAACTCTTCAGACACTGCAGTTGTTTTACCACAGTAATATCTGGTTATGAGCACTACACTGATACAAATAACATTTCCAATCTACAATAGCTATAAAGAAAGGAGCTCGTTGGCACCAAATTCATTTTATCAGTAGCAAATGTAGCACAAAGTCTCAAACTAGAATGTGTCAGCCCAACATGTCCAACATCAGAGAAGTGATGATTTTAAAAATTTAATTTATAAATAACACTATAGGAACAATAATGGAAAGAAACCAAATTATCAATAATGCTACCAAAAGAAATTCACTGTTTTGTTTTTATGTTTTCTTCTAGGTTTTGTCCAAATGAGTACACGCCTTTTACACAATTGTTGTCATGTTATGTCTCAGCCAAGCAGACTGAGGATTTCAAAGGAGGAAATAAAGAGACATCCACAATGTATTATGCTCACCTTCTGCAAAACTTTCCATACTTTTTGATAAAATCCAACTGGAACCCTGTTCAGTGCTCCATCCAGCCTTCTTCGGCGTTGCCACTGACCTTGACGATTATCTACAGATGTCTGTTGACCATATGTGCTAGCAAAGGACCCACTACTTGGAGTCACAGAGGTTCCAGGTGACTTGGAAGAAGCGTGGAAAGAACAAATCAAAAGTTATCTCTGCTCCTCTGATAAAATAACATAGTACAGCAAACACTAAACACACTTAGATTTATCTCTGCAGAATTATAAACCATATATTATGGGTAACACCCAAGATAAAGAAGTTAAAGTGAAGCTAGCAGACTTATATGTTGCTAGCAGCAATTTAAACTGGTACAATCCTTTTAGAAAGAAATCTGATGATATATAACAAGAGCCACAAAAAATATTGATGACATGGGAGGTTGACACAGAAATTCCACTCTTATGAATTTATCCTGTGGAAATAAGAAAACGAAGGAAAAATGTATCTATTTGGAGATGTTCATTAAAATTATTACAATAATAGAACATTTAGAAGGAATCTAAATATCCAAAGGTAAGGAGTTGGATGTGCAAGTAAATGATAAAGCAACTCAATAAAATAGTATACTGAATATTCTTGAAGGCTTAGATACATGGAAATTTACTGATATAGTATTAAGAAATGACTTTATTTGGGACAGACTGTGGATAAGTTCAAGCCTAAGGGTACTGTCAAAGAAAAAAAAAAGGAAATTTTGGTGGTAAGCAACTCAGAGGAAGCTGGTGGCTCCAGAAAAGCAACAAGCTAAACCTTAGACCAGGTAGAAGTTTAACAGAGAGAATCATGGAAAGAGACAGCTAAGATGAACCTACCTGGGGTCAGAACAAGCCTCAAAGACTACCCCTGAAAAGAGGCCCAATTTTAATCAGATCAGGCTGTGGAGAAATTTATGCCTGCAGGAAATTGTCAAAAACAATAGAGCAAACAGGTGGCAATTACTGGAGGTTAAGAACTCCGTGTAATAACAACAGAGGGAGACAGCTTAACAAAGACATGAGAGAAAGAGACAATCAAAGGGAACCCTGCTAAAACCACTGTTATTCTAGAATGGTGGTGCACATGTAGAGAGTTGTGTCCTCTGAGGAATGACATCAGAGGTTGCACACTGCAGGGAAAACAGACTTCACTGAAATAGTACAATCAAATCACTAAACAAATAAACAAGAACAACAATGAGCCACAAAGGTGGGGGGAAGTATCGAGAGTTCTTACAATATATTATCTAAAATGTTCAGTTTTCACTACTACAAGAAACCAAAAGAGACCTACATAAATAGAAAAACACACCATGCTCATGAATAGGTAGACTTAACATTGTAAAAATATCAATTCTACCCAAAGCAATCTACAAATACAATGCAATCCCGATCCAAATACCAACAGCATTCTTTAAAGAGATGGAAACACTAATCATTAACTTTATACTGAAAGGGAAGAAGCCCTGGATAAGTAAAGCACTACTGAAGAAGCAGAATAAAGTAGGCGGCCTCGCACTACCTGACCTCAGAACCTACTATGCAGCTATGGTAGTCAAAACAGCCTGGTACTGGTACAATGACAGACACACTGACCAACGAAACTGAACTGAGAACCCAAATGTAAATCCATCCGCCTACGGTCACCTGATCTTTGACAAGGGCCCAAAGTCCATCAAATGGGGAAAAGACAGTCTTTTTAACAAATGGTGCTGGCAAAACTGGATGGCCATCTGCAAAAAAATGAAACAGGATCCATACCTCACACCATACACAAAAACTAATTCAAAATGGATCAAAGACCTAAATATAAAACCAAAAACTATAAAGATCATAGAAGAAAGAACAGGATCAACTGCTAGAGGCCCTAAAACACAGCATTAACAGGATACAAACTATAACTAATAATACACAAATACCAGAAGATACACTAGATAACTGGGATCTTCTAAAAATTAAACACTTATTGTCATCAAAAAACTTCACCAAAAGAGTAAAAAGAGAACCTACAGAACGGGAAAAATTTTTGGCTATGACAAATCTGACAAAAGTCTAATCTCTAAAATCTATAGGAAAATACAATACCTCTGCTAAAAAAAGACAAATAATCCAATTAAAAAATGGACAAAGGATCTGAATAGAAACCACCAAAGAAGACATTCAAGCAGCTAACAGACACGTGAAGAAATGCTTGTGATCACTAGCCATTAGAGAAATACAAATCAAAACCACAATGAGATACCATCTCACCTCGACATTACTGGTATAAATCAAAAAAATAGAAAATAATAGATGTTGGAGAAGTTGCAGGGTGGTTGGAACTCTTATGCACTGCTGGTGGGAATGAAAATGGTATAACCATTGGAAAATTATACGGCACCTCCTTAAAAAGCTAGAAATAGAAATATCCTATGATCCAGCAATCCCACTCCTAGGAACATATCCTAAAGAAATAAGAGCTGCCACATGAATAGACATATGCACACCCATGTTCACTGCAGCATTATTCACAATAGCAAATACATAGAAACAACCTAGATGCCCATCAACAGATTAATGAATAAACAAACTTATGGTACATACACACAATGGAATACTACACAATGATAAAGAACAATGATGAATCTGTGAAGCATCTCACAACATGGATGAATTTGGAGGGCATTATGCTGAGTGAAATAAGTCAATCGCAGAAGGACAAATATTGTATGAGACCACTATTATAAAAACTCATGAAAAGGTTTACACACAGGAAGAAATAATCTTTGATGGTTATGACGGAGAGGAGGGGTGAGAAGGAAATACACTAAATAGACAACAGATAAGTGGTAACTTTGGTGAAGGGTAAGACAGTACACAAAACTGGGGAAGCCAGAATTTGTCCAAGGCAAAGTCATGCAAGCTCCACAGACACATCCAAACTCCGAGGGACCAAATTACTGGGCTGAGGGCTCTGGGGACCATGGTCTTGGGGAACATCTAGCTCAACTGGTGTAACATAGATTATAAAGAAATTGTTCTATATTCTACTTTGGTGAGTAGCATCTTGGGTCTTCAAAGCTTATGAGTGGCCATCTAAGATACTCCACTGGTCTTACCCTGTGTGGAGCAAAGGAGAATGAAGATGAAAGACACAAGGAAATGATTAGTCCAAAGGACTAATGGACTACAACTATCACAGCCTCCACTAGACTGAGTCCAGCACAACTAGATGGTGCCTGGCTACCACCACCAACTGCTCTGACAGGGATCATAATAAAGGGTCCCAGACAGAGCTGGAGAAAAATGTAGAACAAAATTCTAACTCACACACACACACAAAAAGACTTATTGGTCTGACAGAGACTGGAGAAATCCCGAGAGTATGGCCCTTGGACATCTTTATAGCTCAGTAACGAAGTCACTCCTGAGATTCACCCTTCAGCCAAAGATGGGACAGGCCCATAAAACAAAACGAAATTAAAGGGGCACACCAGCCCAGGGGCAAGGATGAGAAGGCAGGAGGGGACAGGAAAGCGGATAATGGGGAACCCAAGGTCGAGAATGGGAGAGTGTTGACATGTTGTGGAATTGGCAACCCATGTCACAAAACAATATGTATATTAATTGTCTAATGAGAAACTAGTTTGCTCTGTAAACCTTCATCTAAAGTACAATTAAAATAAATAAATAAATAAAATGTTTAGTTTTCAACAAAAAATTATGAGGCCTGCAAAGAAACAGGAAAGTGTGGCCCACATATGAGAAAAAAGCAGGCAACAGATACTGCATTTGAGAGGAGCTCAGATGTCAAACTTATAAGACAAAGACTTCAAGTAGCTATGTTCAAAGATTTACAGAAAACTATGCTTAAAGAGGTAAAGGAAAGTATGATAACAATGTTTCATCAGAGACTCTCAACAGAGGCATGATTAAAAAAAAAAAAGAACCAAATGGAAACTCCAGAGTTAAAAAGCACAGTAACTGGAATGAAAACTTTACTAGAGGGGGCTCAACAGTAGAATTTATCTGGCTGAAGAAAGAATCAGCGATCTTGAAGATATATCAATAGAGATTATTCAATATGAAGAACAGAGAGAAAAAATGAATAAAGAAAAATGAATTGAGCCTCAGAGAAATGTGGGAACTCAATAAGTGCGCTGAAATATGTATAATGGGAGTACAAAAAGAGGACACAGAGAAAGGAACAGAACATCTGAAGAAATAACGGCTGAAAACTTCCCAAATTTGATGAAAAATAATCTACACACCCAAGAAGCTCAAAAAAACTCCACATAGGATAAATGCAAGAAGATCTAACATAGACACAGCATAATCAAAATGATGAAAGTCAAAAACAAAGAGAAAATCTTCGTAGCAAGAGAAAAATGACTCCTGTTCAAGGGAACTCCAGTAAGATTAACAGTGGACTTTCTATCAGAAACAATGAAGGCTAGAGGCACTGGGGTGACGTTCAAAATGCTTAAAGAAAAAATAAATACTGTCAATCAAGAATCATATATCCAGCAAAACTACCTTTAAAAACTAAAGGTGAAATAAAGATATTTGCAGATGAACAAAAACTGAGAGAACTGCACATTGCCTTACAAGAAATAGTAAAGGTAGTTCTTCAGGCTGAAAGCAAAGGACCTCAGACAATAATCTGAATCCATTTGGGAAAAAAAATGCCAGTAAAGGTAATTATGTAGGTAAGTATAAAAGATGGTATAATCCATATTTCTTCTCTTAGTTGATCTAAAAGCAAGTGTATAAAAATATGTACATAATTGTATTGTGACTCTAACATATATAAATGTAATATATTTGACATACCAGTTGAATATATTATATACAAAGGAGGTGGGTGGGGAAAAAAAGCTGCACTGGAAAAAGAAAATGACACCAGATAGTAATTTAAATCCACAGAAAGAGAACCAGAAAGGATAAACATGAGGATTAATATAACAGACTCTATAAATATATTCTTGTGCTCCTTTCATTTCTCAGCTCCTTTAAAAGACATAAATTAGATAAAACAATCATTATAATCATGTATTGTTGGGCTTGTAACATATACAGACATAACATGTATAACAATATTAGCACAAAAAAGGGGGGTGGGAATAGACCTACGTAGGAGTAAAGTTTCTATATCTCAC